TAACTCTGTCACCGAGTTGGAACCCGTTCAGTAAAAAGCTCATATACACAAGAATAAGCCAATGCATGGGGTCTTCTTCAATAACTTCGAAGACCTTGGCTTATCAAAGCGCCTGACTTTCGCTTACCGCAGGTCGAGTGGCCTGAAGTCGGAAACTGAGGGGTTCCTCATGGCTTGCCAGGATGGTGTCTTCAACACCTTAGTCTATCGCAGTCGCGTGATGGGTATAGAGGTTCCTGACACAAGATGCAGGGCCTGCCGCGAGGCGTCCCCTTGACTCACTTGCTATCAGCATGGCCAGCATATACGGTCTCGGCCTATATCCATCGACCCCAAGAGTGCTATATTACCATCTAGGGTACTCTTACGGTATTGAGGAGACAGCGGTGTTGCTCTACGGCCCGGGAGATATAGAATCCGTTGTGGAGAACAAGACGTGCCGAATTTATTGGAACTATTCGTTTCCCACTCACAGGCTCATACAATCTAATAAGCCTAATGTAGTCCTTCTCGACCCCCAGAGCAAGACGATATTTGTCGTGGAGTTTTCAGGTGTAAGATGCTCCCATCTACGAGCTGCACATCCTCTCCGTAGTCCCCGCATCGTCCTCTTTTGAGATGGACCATTGCACATTTGTCTATCCCGGATTTCATACCGATAGCATGCTTGTACTCTTCCACCACCCTCAAGGACTGATGGAGATCCTTCTCTCCAGAGGCATAAAATTTAAGATCATCCATATAAAACAAATGGGTGACCTTGTGCCTCCGGTTTCCGGGAGTGCCACAGTTATACCCTCGAGTCTTTCTGAGCGCAACGGATAATGGCAATAGTGAGATGCAGAAGAGAAAAGGACTGAGGGAATCACTCTGAAATACACCCTTTCTGAAAGTGACCCACCCTGTTTGGACTCTTGCTTGACCAGATGGTAAAGCGAGTTCGCCAAAGTGGTATCAGTTGTTCAATGCATCTCACTATTTTGTCGGATACCGCAAGGCATCTGAACAAATGCAAGATGAGCTCATGCGAAACTGTATCAAATACCTTACGGTAATCGATCCAGGCCATAGAGAGGTTACGCTTATATTGTATCGAGTCCTGCGTTACAAAACTATCGATGAGCAGGTTCTCTTTACATCCAGCGACTCCTCTCTTCGACCCTCTCTGCTCATATATCCGTTAAAACACTCGTTCAACTTCGGTGAGTATTCGTGTGTATAAGATGCTTGTAAACAACTTATAACACGGATTCAAGCATGTTATCGGTCTGTAACTCTTAGGAATCGACAAATCTCCGCTTTTGGGGATGCGAACGGTCCGCCCCTCGACAAACCAATCCGGAATCGGCTGCTCTCCATTCAGCCATGAGTTGAAAAAAACTCTGGCCAGATGGCGGTGGGTACTTGGTAGTTTTTTCCACCAATAAGTGTTCAGCCCATCTGGGCCTGGAGCAGCAAAGTTCTTGGAACCAACAAGGGCCCTTCGAACGTCATCCGGGGTTATCGGGTTGCGCAGTTCATTGACCTCAGGCTGTCGAAGCTCTCTGTTGAAAGCTTCGAACTGCGCTAGGGCTGGAGTGTCCAAGCTGAGTGGCTGCGGGTGTTCATAGATATTCTTCCAGAAGGATTTCACCTGATCAGCAGTCGGCGGATTATCCACAACACGTGGAGGCTCTTGGAATAAGCGAGAAGGTTTCTCGCGGAACCTAAAGTTTTCCGCGATACTTCTCGCTCGCCTCACTAGTGACTTCTTAGCAGCCACTAGCATCCATATCCTATCAAGGCAGTGCTGTTTGGTGGTCAGCAGCACGCCTTGGCTTAGAGTGTGATGGATACGTCGTAAATTGGCGGCTATTCGCCGCACTGCGGGCGTGAAAGGCCTATTGGCCGCTCTGTAGTCCATCACACATTGGATACGAGACGCGTGTTGTCTCGCCGACGTGATCTTAGCCTCCATCTTGTGTACACGCCGTTCAATCTTCCGAACCGCAAGGCCGGGATTTCGTCCTTCCGATTCGGAAAGCGACTGGACGACGTTATACACGGCGATGTTGATTTGCCGTTGATTTCTTATTATTATTATTAGGAATCAAACGTTAAAAGGTAAGACCTCGTTAATCCTTATCTCGCACAGTTTAGTCTTCTGAGGGTTTTCGTTCGTAGGGGTGCGAGAGCTGGTTAAGAGAAAAACAGATTTGAACACAACAGATTTTATTTTCTCTACTCCGAGACCACCATCCACAATCACCAGGATATGCGGGAACTTTCCAATCGCACCTTGCATTGACAAATTTCAAAATAGCAGTCTCTAATATTAGAAACGGAAATCCTCGTTCGGTGTACAGGAAGGCCTTTCTTTCCACCTCGACATACACCGCCGAGAATGCGAAAAATTAAAGAAAACAAACGACCCCGACGAGAGTGTTGTTTGAACAGATGTCGAAGAATCGTTCTGTTTATTGCGATTCGTTCTAGAGCGGAGAAGCCATCTTGACTGTTTCGTTGACAAAATGCTTTTTAATTTTTCGTTCCGAGGATTTCGACAGGAAATGACTTGATGAACGTCGATACGCGTTTGTTTTGGTAGAGGTGTGTAAACATTTCGATATGACAGGGAGAAAATGGCAACACTTCCTCCGGTTCAGAGTGTGGGTGTATTTACTACAGTCTTATAATAATAGACAAATGTAGCTAGCCGCAAAGCGACTAAAGTGCGAGCAATTGACTTCCTTACGTATTAATAAATTCCGCATCGCATGACAAAACGTAAATAAATTCACACAAAACCGTCAGAGTTTTTTAAGAAAACCTTTCAATAATTCTGGAAGCCTTACAAACATTATCTCAGGAAGGAAATAGTGTCACTCGGAAAAGTGCCTTCCAACTGCATGCGGCTACTTCCAGAATTTCTTTCACTATCGGGATAATGTTGGTAGCCAAATACTCGGCTTTGATGAAACTAGTAGTCAACGTACTCCAATCTGTAGCTTTGGACGTGGTCAAAGCCTCGGAACACGTTAAAAGGATTTAACTTTTAATTAAAAACCAGCGTGAAAATCCGGTAAAAGTGACAGACGAAATTATAAAGGAAGCTACTGCTGTTGCGGAGAAAGTCGGACTGGAGACATTATCTAACTTACACCCGGCGCAGATGCAAAAGATGACAACTGAAAATCTGAAACAGACTTGTGAATCTACTGCCCAGTTTTATGATTTACCAAACATAAAAAATGAATCAAACACTGGCAGCACTATAGACTTAATCTAACAAATCTTATAGTTGTTGTTGTCCTAAAAGAAACAAATTCCTTCTTTCTCGAAAGGGAAAAAGCATTGAAAATTTGATCGCTTTGCCATGCACGACCTGTACAGTAGAGCGATCCTTTAGCAGCCTCAGAAGACTGAAAACATGGCTAAGAAGCACCATGGCAGACGATCGCCTTAATGGTCTGGCCATGATGAGTGTACTCAGAGCTAAAATAAATAAAAAATGGGTGAAAGAAAAAATAAAACTTCAGTCGGCCATGAATTCAAATCTTGATGTATTTTTCAATGCTGAACAACTTTTCCAAATAACATTTCCCGAGATTTTTCGCAATAAGAGTACTTTATGGGAAAGAAAGTTTTTGGATTTCTACTACTCCATCTTGATACAAAAAAAGGATGAGGAAATCTTCCAAAGAAAGGAAGGAAGTAATCAAGTTGAAAATAAGTAACTATACATGGATGTGTACATATCCATGTATAGAGTTACTTATTTTCAAATTGATTACTCAAGGTGGAGTAGTAGAAAGCCAAAAACTTTCTTTCCCAAAAATTATCACTCCTAAAAATATAACCCCTTCAATTCAAATAAGATTCCTCTTGGCTGGGATTAAATCAAATAGGTCAATGAATGTCATTACGATATCATCGATGACATAAGCAAATCAAGCTTATTCCGTGACATTGAAAATCGTAATTCATGAATGAATTATGTGTATTTTCTATAATGTATAATTTGGTACTGAAGAGCCTTAGGGCAAGTGTCTTAAGGCGAAAAATCGATGTATACCAGTGAGGATGACAGTGTTCCATGTAAGTGCAATTTGTTAACATTCATTTTAAGTAGAACTCATGTGAATGATATCTGATTTTTATTCCACAACAAATGTTTGAAATACAAACCGACTAGAGAAAAGTATCTTCTGTATAATTCAGTGTTCATATAGATGTATTTGTTTCGAAAGAATTTTTTTCTTTCGTGTAATTCAATGTTTATATGAAAGTAGCTGTTTCAGGAGACTTTCTTTCAGTTTGTGTCTGTAAGTTACTTCTTTGCATGATCTACACATCCATGTATGAAGTTACTTGATTTCAAATTGATTACTTCCTTTCTCTGGAAAATTCCCTCATCCTTTTTTTGTATCAAGATGGAGTAGTAGAAAGCCAAAAACTTTCTTTCCCAAAAATTAATCACTCCTAAAAATATAATCCTTTCAATTCAAGAGTACTTTACTTTTGTCTCAAAATCAAATATTTGAAGGCTCCTCGCATATTACGTATGTTTTACTATATTTTGTTAGTGCATATTCAGTTTTAGGGAATGCACAAACTTTTATCAATAATAACTGTCGAAAAACCCTTAATAAATGAGTTTCCCACATGGTGCATACTTTGGGAATGACACTGTATAACTATCGATTTTCCAAAGATTCCACAGTACGAGTATATTCGAGGATACGTCTGTATACAGTCCACTTCATGAGAAGTGGACTGTATACTTGCGTTAAATAAGTTTTAATATTCACGAAGACTGAGACTCCTTAAGGTTATAAAAGTCTAAACTCGCGGAAGTCACATATTCACCTTCATTGTCTAATCCATGGAAAATGGAGCATAGAAGGTTACAAGGGCTATTATCTTTCACTAGTACTAGTAAAATATATCACCAAACAATGAAATAATTTTTCTGGAGTTGTATTGTTTTCTCTCCCATTTAATGATTTTTTTTGTTTCAGAGTGCGGTAGAGGTACAGTGAAGGGGGGTCGTACGTCACCCTCCGTCCGACCCCCTGCGCAAACCAGGGTATCCGTCAAACAACCCCCAGTAGCCGAGGCACTTGCCGTCCTTGTTCAACACCTCGTATTCAACGTGAGTTTTTTTTAATCGAATTTTTCAACGTTTCATCTTTTCATTGCATTTTCACTTCACTCAAAGCAATTTTCGAGGGAGCAGGTTTTAACCCAATAATCATTGCATAACCTTCAATGGGGTGTCGACTGATGTCTCGTTCAAAAAGACTTTCAATTCTTCATCCACTGCTTCACTTTCCAAAATCGGTGTCCGGTGGATGCGATCCACTCAGTTTTATGTGTCCCCGCGAAAAATCTAAAGAACTCAAATCGGGTGATCGAGGAGGCTTCTCAATTGCACTTCTTCGTCCATGGAACACATGTAACTTGTAATGTTTTATATTTGCCAGGTATTTGTTCTGACTCGCGCCTGACTCTTGCACTCAACGGTTTTTCCATTGCCATTTACAGATGAACAACTTAATTACTTTACAGTTGTGTTTGAATGATCTCGCAAGTAGGTCTTGAAAACTTGCCTTTTTCAAAGCATGTTCCCGAACGTCAAACTTAATCAATGAATTGACATTTCGTTTTGAAGTACTTATATAGTTTCTAACAAATAAGAAAAATAACAGCAGGGAAAGTGAAAACGGGTCTATACTCACCAGAAATTTGTAATCTAAACCTGACAACAATGTTTTCGTTTCAATGCAATAATATTTCCGAGAATTTAGTGCCTACCATTGTGGAATTTTAGTGTAGGTAATTTTTCACACCCAATTTTTCCACAGAAAAATTACAGTGAATCTGTAAAATTCGAATCCATTTGTAAAATTACATTTTTCGTAGAAGGTAGAAAAAATGTGTGGTTTGTATCCGAAATTTCTAAATTCAAGTCAGATGAAGGGACGTACAACTTGTCAAATCTAGGAAGAGCATTGAGAATTCTCACTCTCTCTTTGTCGCACTCACCCTCTTTCAACGAACGCATGTCTAGTGGGCGAGACCATAAAATAATTTAGGAGGCTCTTCCTACATTTGACAAGCTGTATGGTAATCAACCTCAAAGCATTCAGGCACAGATTACCGGTGCCAGGGAATTTCTAATCTTCTATTGAAGACCAATTTACATACATAGTAGACCCTTCCTTTGTCTGTCACTAATCCGTCCAAATCTCTTCTAATTATCTTAGCAGGTATAGCTGTATATAGCTGTATACTTTGATAAAACTTTGATACTTAGAGTAATCAGTTAGTTGTGCATTCAAAACTTGTACCATAACAATTCGTGGGTCTAAACATTTTTTTTCAAGCCAAGTGTTATGGTCCAAATCAATACACACCTGAGGGTGTTGAAAATTCATGAAGCTGTGAGTATTTGGCCAGTAGAGATCTTTAGATCATGAAGCCACTGCAGAATAGATTTTATTATTTTAGGTAGCAGTCTGTTAAAAAAACTCTTTATTATTCTGCCAAGCTTTCGGAATGTTTTAAGTCCTTCCTCTGGACAACTAAAATGATGGCACGAATTAAAAATATAAACATGCTTCTACTCATTTGAAGTGAAGAAAAAACTATACATCAAATGGCAGTAACAATTGGATTTATAAAATACTAGGCGAGTCAGCTTCCCTACATATTTCTTCGTTTTGCTAATTTCAAAATCAATCTCGTGCTAAGTAAGTATAATCCATGATGTTTAAATTTTTTATTTATACCATCTTTTCAGTTGTCCTGAGGAAGGAAATAAAAGATTCCGAAAGCTGGTCAGAACAATAGATTTTTCTTCCTCAGCCCATTTACTGCTACCTCAAAATTACAGTCAATGATTCGAGAAGTCAGAGTAAATTTTGTAATGTATAGAAATCCCAGTGATGTTTTGGTAGATAATAAACATATGAACTAACGATATCAATATCAAAAATACATTCTATTCAGTTGAGACTGATTTTGAAAATGTATACAACTTGTACTTGTTATTAAGTTTCTATCTGTTTTCTTTTTAGTTGAACGCCTTTGAGGTTCCCGGCCTCAGGCGACAAATAGAGACATACCGTTCAACTATCGAAAAAGTACGATTGTCTCACCGACAGCTAGAAGAGAAGCTGATGCAAGAAAAAATCCAACAGACGGTAGCCATCGAAGAAGAGCGAGCGAGGTGGCAGAAAGACATCACCGAGTTGATCGAAAAACACGACAATCGAATTGCCGAACGTACGTATAAATTGAAAAACAATTCAGAGGTGGTTTCTTACAGTTTAGGAAAACACTGTTGTACATTAAGTTCGAGCGAATCGTCTCTGTGACTGTTCTGGAATCCTAAATTTCCCACCCGTCAGTATATCATACTGTACTATCCACTCATAAAATGTTTACCTAAGTTTAAAAGTTACAATTTTGAAAGCAGTTCTCAGTATCCGCTGCTTACATAGGACAAATTTCCAGATTTCTCGACAATCGAATAATTTACCACAAGTATGTTGGTCGGTTACACCCACAATACAAATCTTATCAACAGAAAAAACTGACTCCAATATATAATATATAATTTCATACGTCAAAATTTGGGCAATAAGAAAACAACAGCTTTCTTTATATGCTCTCGAAAGCCTAGACCAAATTCTGCCTATTGAATAGTTTCAAAATTACATGGTTGCCTTTTATATTTCGAGATTAGAGAACAAAAACAAATATTGATAATCGAAAATCACTTTATTGTTTTTCAAAATATTCCTCATGGAGATCTATACACGTTTGCATGCGTTTGAACCAATTCGAAAGTTGTAAAAAATAATCGCACGAAAATGTTCACGATTTAATTCCATTTTTGGGTCGAGATGAATCTTTTAAGTTACTGTAAACAACACAAATAGCGCGCGTATATCTAAACGTTCCGAGTACGTATAAGCCCAAAAATTTCCAACTTTACGATACAGCTGTCAGTTGCCAGATTGCAACACTAGAGTTGCCAAATCCCGAAACATAAAAGGCAATCTATCGTATGACCTCAAAGCCCTAAACTGAATCTCATCTTTTCTCTCAAGGATCTCACGAGACTGTGAAAGACCTAAAAATAATTTTCTTCTAGAATGTTCTTACAGGCGTCAAGAGAAATATGTTGGCTAACTTTTGTATTCACAAAGGCGTAGACCAAGTGCTGCTCATCGATAAGCTTCGAAAGTATGACCTCCAAGGTCCTGCTCTAAACTAGATCATGTCTTTATTACCAAGGATCTCGGAAGACTGTCATAGAAGTGAAATTTTAGAAATGTTCTCACAGGCGTCTCTCAAGAAAGCATGTTTAGAGTAACTTTGACGAGAATTCTATTGGCTTACTTTTTGTCTTGTCAAAGGCACAGACGAAGTGCTGCTCGTCGATAAGCTTCCAAATTGTGACCTCAGAGGTCCTGCTCTGAACTAGATCATGTCTTTATTACCAAGGATCTCGGAAGACTGTCATAGAAGTGAAATTCTAGAAATGTTGTCACAGGCGTCTCTCAAGACAGCATGTTTAGAGTAACTTTGACGAGAATTCTATTGGCTTACTTTTTGTCTTGTCAAAGGCACAGGCGAAGTGCTGCTCGTCGATAAGCTTCCAAAGTATGACCTCAGAGGTCCTGCTCTGAACTACATCATGTCTTCATTACCAAGGATCTCGGAAGACTGCCATAGAAGTGAAATTCTAGAAATGTTCTCACATGCGTCTCTCAAGAAAGCATTTTTAGAGTAACTTCAACGAGAATTCTATTAGCTTACTTTTTGTCTTGTCAAAGGCACAGACGAAGTGCTGCTTGTCGATAAGCTTCCAAATTATGACCTCAGAGGTCCTGCTCTGAACTACATCATGTCTTTATTACCAAGGATCTCGGAGGACTGCCATAGAAGTGAAATTCTAGAAATGTTCTCACATGCGTCTCTCAAGAAAGCATGTTTAGAGTAACTTTGACGAGAATTCTATTGCCTTACTTTTTGTCTTGTCAAAGGCACAGACGAAGTGCTGCTCGTCGATAAGCTTCAAAATTATGACTTCAGCGGTCTTGCTCTAAACTAGACTCTAAAAATGATAATGTCGAGATGAAAATTACTACTGATCAGGTCTTCAAATACTAAAATAACTGTAGTTACAAATCTCGTTCGGAGGTCGATGTTGAAGCTTTGAATTTGACGCTTTGATGAGCTTCGTTCATACTTGATATTCGTGGATTAAGAATTCTGTCGACCAAATAGATGGCGTTTTCGTAAGGGCAGAGGTCCATCGCCTTCACTCATATGTTTCTTAGAACTAATATTGATGTGAGTGTATTCTAGATCATTCTATAATTCCTTTCAGTAAACAAGGAATACGTCTCCTTAGAACAACGTTTGCACGCTGAAAAAAACAACGCCCACCAGAACCTGTGCAAAGAGCACGAGGAACAACTGACCACCTTCAGAAGGGAGTTTGAAAAGCTACAAAGTACCCATGAAGAATCCTTGGAAATCCTGCGTGAGGAGAACGAGGCGATACGGGAACAGATCGACGAGAAGAGAATACAGATCGCCAAGGTCAATGAGGAGAGTAGGAAGCTCAAAGAGGACTACGAGAGTAGGGAGATTGCTCTTAAAGAGCACAATCACAAGCTGGTCAACAAATTGAAGGGAGAGTTCGAGGACCGGTTGAAGTGTTTGGTTGATGAGAATAACAGGTTGAGGGAGGAAAACGATAGGCTGCTGGGCTACGGAGATGACAGAGGAATTGGGGTGCAGGTGAGTTCTTTTCATCCCCAAACCTATATGAACAACTTGAAAAAACGCGGACTCTTAGAATTAGTTGTCAAAGGTTTTCAGGTGAACACCTATAATAAACAAATCCACAATACCCAAACTCATAATCCCCAAACTCATAATTATACAACTTGAAAAAACCGGGCTGTTACTCTGTCAGGTGAACATCTATAACAAAAAACCTGAAATCTACAAGGCACATATCCACAAAACACATTCAACTTCAAAAGTACATACAATCTTTCAAATACAAAATGTAATGAAAAACTGTCTAATACAACTACATACAGGGGTGCGCAAAAGTTCGGAATAAAATTAATATCTTTTTAACTAGTATTTTAGTAAGAAAACGCCGAAACACGTCAATTGATTTCACGTTGTACGCATTTTTTGGCAATGAAATTAAATCTTTTTTTCAACCCCTTTGCTGCAACCCTCCCCAACTTTTTTCTTCAAATGCAAACCTATGTCGTGTATGGGCTCATTGAACAGCTCGTAAAAAATGGAATCTGACCATACCCTTTATTTTTTTTTACTTATGCGGTTACCAGGAAATGAGAATAAACTCTTTTAAAATCAAAAAAGTTAGAAATACCTACTTAGTGCTATCTACGGGTGAATTAACGTTGCAAACAAATAAGTGGTGATGATGTACATTGCTCAACAATTGCTAAGGATCACCAGTACCTACTTTCTTAAAGTTTACAAATTTTAAGAACAGACCAACCGGGCCAGGCACCACAACAAATTTTATTGATTTATGTGTAAAACTGATGACGTAATGTAGCATCAACATTCTGTGGATTTTATTTTTTCACCAAAAACTTAGTTCCATCCCAAGCAATTGTTGACCAGTGTACCTCAAAAAGAGAAAAAGGTTGTTGCATTTTTTGTACCAAAATGAATGCCCTGATAAGAACTATTGTCTTGACTTAGTTTTAAAATTGTGGCATTTCTCAGTGAAATTGAAAATTTATATGTTTAGTTTATTAATTGGGTACCTTCAAAGTGTTCTTTTTTAATTTGCTAAACAAAATGGTATTGTCAGAGAGGCAGCGTATCGAAGTCTTGATATTGTTGGGATTTGGGGATAGAATGCGGAGTCAAAGTGAGGTATGTACTTTATTTAATGCAAAATATCCGGAAAATCACATTTCCCAGGCTACTGTGAGTAAGATCTTACACAAATTTGAAGAACATGGTACGGTGAAGGACTTGACCAGTGGCCGGCCACATGTTTTAGACAAAGATCAAAAATTGGACATTGCCGTATCTCTGCAGGAAGATCCACATTTGTCAGCGGTTTCATTAGCCCAAAACAATCCTGCGTCTAGACGTACGATTGGGAGGTTTTCGAAAACAGAAAAATACCACTCATATAAGGTATGTCTTGTCCAAGAGCTCTTGGAAGATGACTATGACAGGCGTTTGCAATTTTGTGAGGAAATAATGAGGCGATGTGACGAGAATAATGGGTTTCCACTCAACATACTCTTTTCGGACGAAGCTACTTTTTATTTACATGGAGTAGTTAACAGGCACAACTATCGATTCTGGAGTCAGGAAAACCCACACTGGATATGCGAAGCTCGTACGCAGCGTCCTCAGAAAGTAAATGTATGGGCAGGCATCACCAACAACAGGATATTAGGGCCATACTTTTTTGAGGGAAACCTTACAGCTGCACGCTTACCCTTTGACTTAGTCCCTGCTTTAGCTGTTATGTGTCCCAATGAAGCAGATCCAGATATCCCCATTGAAACACTTTGGTTCCAACAGGATGGCGCTTCCCCACATTTTGGTATTAATGTCAGAGAATATCTTGATGACATATTTGCAGGACGCTGGATTGGACGACGTGGTACAATTGAATGGCCGCCAAGATCCCCAGACTTAACGCCATTAGATTATTTTTATTGGGGATATATGAAAGACAAGGTTTATCAAAATATGCCGGCTAATATTGAAGATCTAAAAAGCAGAATTAGAGTGGAATCACATAACATACCGGCTGAGGCCATTCGGAATTCCGTAGACGGGTTTTACCATCGCCTAGGAGCCTGCCAAGTAGAGGGTGGAGGCCAATTTCAGCATCTGTTACGTTAATTCACCCGTAGATAGCACTAAGTTAGGTATTTGTAGCTTTTCAAAAGAGTTTTTTCTTATTTCGTTGTAATCACAAAAAAAAATAAAGGGTATGGTCAGATTCCATTTTTTACGAGCTGTTCAATGAGCCCATACACGACATAGGTTTGCATTTGAAAAAAAAAATTGGGGAGGGTTGCAGCTAAGAGGTTGAAAAAAAAATTTTTTTTTTCCAAAAAATGCGTACAACGTGAAATCAACTGGCGTGTTTCAGAGTTTTTTTTCCTAAAATACTGGTTAAAATGATATTAAATTTATACCGGACTTTTGCGCACCCCTGTATAATCCTTTCAATTGAGCTTGAAAAACATCGCATTAGTATTAAAAACTGATCAGCATCTTTGGATATTTTTGAAAGAAGACGATTATATCAAATCTGTTGTTATGAAAAAATGTTATTTTACTCATGGCTTACACAACTTATTATTTAATATATCATATATTATTTTTTAACAAAAATTTACTATTTTATGTTTTCATTGTTGCTTACAAATTGCGGTGGTTTATTCAGTTTTTGTTTCATGTTCAGGAAGTTCAGTCATTGAGGGCGGTCTTGGAATTGAAACAAAACGAGGTGGCGGAACTTCGAAAACTGCTGGCAGAAGAAACACATAAAGCCGAAATTCTAGCAGGAGCAGATGAAAGAGCGAGGATTTTGAAATCAAGATGTGAAGATTTAAACCTACAACTGCAAAGAAAAGCGGAATTTGAAAAGTATGTGGAATTCGTTTGGTTTGCAACTTATTCCTAAATGAAAACTGTTCTGGCATAGCGCGATTTCAAAGGGTCGCCTTTTTCACATATCAACGTCATTTGTCAAGTTATGCAACACACCAAGCCATTTCTCAAATATTTCATCAGAGGGGATACTTGAAAAAACTTATATAGAAAGAAAAAGTTTTCAAATTATCAAGCACAGCAATGAAACATTTTATTCGACCTAGAACCATAGATCGAAAACCTATAGTTTTAGTTCTGTGTTTTCAATACATAAAAAATAAACACTTGCAACCACCAACACTTCGATCTAGAAGCATAGAACGAAAATCCTTAGTTTTAGTTCTGTGTTTTCAATAGATAAATAATAAACAACTGCAATCACCAACACTTCGATCTAGAACCATAGAACGAAAATTCTTAGTTTTAGTTCTGTGTTTTCAATAGATAAATAATAAACAACTGCAATCACCAACACTTCGATCTAGAGCCATAGAACGAAAATCCTTAGTTTCAGTTCTGTGTTTTCAATAGATAAATAATAAACAACTGCAATCACCAACACTTCGATCTAGAACCATAGAACGAAAACCCATAGTTTTAGTTCTGTGTTTCCAATACATTAATATTAAACAACTGCAACCACCAAGCAATAATTTAAAATGTGTAGCCCCATGGAACACAGATGGCGTGAAATTGTCCAAAATGTCAATAAAATTTGAGTTTCATATGAAAAACTGGCGGCTCTTCTTTCATCATCAACTCAGAACGATTCACTCAAATTCGAAACACCCCTTGTCACTCCAATACTAGTTGAAATTTCTAAATGTAAATATAAGTAGGTATATTAATAATTGCAAATTTTTTCCTTAGAACACTGTTACAAGAAAACCAGAGGCTACAAGAAAACTTCAAAGAAGAAACCAACCAGAAGAGACGTCTCTCGCAGCACAATGAAGAGCTCCAATGGAAGCTAAAACAGAACAAGGAAGTGATCAACAAAGTTTTAGAGCAAGCCGAAGAGTCTGCCTTCAACCGGTCATTGCTCAGTTCGAGTTTCAACGAGAGACACTTCACGAAGCCGTTTCTGGAGCGGTCCTTTTCACACAGAGAACGAACCCCTTCGAACAGATCCAATGCTAGTTTGGAGGAGTCAATCAGGTCGAGGAAGTCGAAGACATCGCAAGAGCTCGACTTGGATGATCTGTCGCCGCCAACGTCTCCTAAAGTCAAAGGTTAGTGAAGTTGGTTTTTGACAAGACTAGTTAGTTTTTCGTTGATTTTGGTTGATATTCCAGTAGATTGAGCCCATGGTTTGGCAATTATTACATTGCTCTATATGTTATATTGATATATATGGAACATCCTACCGACTGCGCCATTTTTTTCAACTAGGGAAGGCATCAATTAGAACTTGATTTAAAGATATAGGAATTATAAAATGAATAAAAAACATTTTCGTTTATAATGTAACAATTTTGTTAAAGGTGTTGTAGAAAAATCCGATTCGGTCAGTTACGTTTTGGAAATGGAAGAGAGTCCTGAAGTGGTGGCGAACAGAATCGTTAGGAGAAGCTTCAGGAACACTACACCTCCAAAGAACACCCCGACGAAATCCCATTCTAAACGCCCTCGCAGCAGAAACCCGCTGAGCCAGAGCGCATCCTCTAGCGCCATTATCTCGAACAATAGGTGAGTTGATGATTGTTAATTCGGCAAACTCTACCCAGACCACTCTCTTGAGACTGTTCTTCTGATTGAGTTAATTTTGCCTACTCAGGGTACATGATTGTCGAACCCGATGACCATTCAATTTGATTTCTATACTTTTATTTCTCTTACAAACATTATTGTGAATCAGCGATATGATTGGGTTGCTTCAGGACTTTAAACATCACATGATTACTTTTCAGAAACGACTACGACAGGCCGCGATCGGCCGCCTCCCGAAACGGCGACTACGACAACGACAACGTCTTCCCATGGTCGAGCTCTCCCAAGTACGACGAACACCAGGACGAGAGCTACGAGTCCTCCAACTCGAGCATGAAGCTCGAAGACGAACACCTGGACTTAGATGAGGACAACGAGGTGGACATCGAGTTGCCGGCGCTGCCCAGCGAGCTGAACCGGAGAAACGGGGGGGCGCGGGCGTTGCCCAGTCCCAAACATCTAGCCGGGGAGGCGATGGTGTCAGAGAGCAACTCCGAAGACGAGAGCACAAGCTCTTCCCAGTTGTGAGACGAACTGTATTTTTAAATGAGTCCCTAGGCGGGAGGTGGTTTTTGGGGGATATCTGGGTTGGGGAACGGGTATCAGGGCTGTTTTTCAGCCCGGTATGAGTTTTTTTGGAATCTTATTGGGTAGAGAGGTTTTTGAATCTTGTACATACGAGTCGTAGCAGAAGAAAGTTTTCCCATTTATACCATTCAATAAAATTTTCTGTGAATGAAATCCTCAACATGGACGTTTCAGTTTCTCTACGTTGGAAAATCGTGTTTTAAAATTGAGTGATTTTTCGAGTAGATCAAAGAGCTTTTCCTCAGTAGTAGGTTTTGTCACATTTCATAAAATATATATTCGAAACATTCCAGGCATCCTGATAAAAAAAGAACTGCAAAAACATGAAACATAAAACCCACAATACTCCAACTTACTGTCGGACACAGTCCTCAGTTCTACAAAACACCAACAACCAATAAGACCCTGACTCGCAGTTCTCAATTATCAAACTCACAAAATCCTTACTGATAATTGTCAAACCAAAAAACTCGCACATACATACACACAGTTCTCTATCTAATAATCCTTAACAATAAGCCACAATAACCTTCCCATATTCCCAACTCCTAAACTTACAAATTTCAAGCCCACAAACTAAATAAATCCTTACTCACATTTCACATAATTGAAGCCCATAATACCTTCGGTAATAATGTGTTAAACCAGAAAATCCAGATCCTCAATAATACCCTTCACAAATTAACCAACCTTAAAACACATTATTCACAATACCCTAACTAACAGTCTTCAAACACATAATCTAAAAACCTCAAATTGAGTAAACTTCAACCCAAAATATCCCAAAAACAAAATTGCCAAACCTACCATACCCTAACTCATAGTCCCATAATAATCTCAACCCCAAACCTACAATCCAAGAAGTTGTAAAAGCCCATCAAATTCAGCAAACTTCAACCCAAAATACCCCAAAAACAAAATTGCCAAACCTACCATATCCTAACTCAGTCCCAAACCTACAATCCAAGAAGTTGTAAAAACCCAGACTTAGAATTATGTTGTTGTGAGAGGTTTTCAGGTGGAAAATATAAAAGAGTTTTGAAATGTTCCTACAAGGTAATGGATTTTTAGTTTGATTAGAGCAATTAATTAGGAAGTAATTAAAGAACGTTTCATTACTAGGTAATAGAGTTGAAAAATCGTATTCCTCTCACTACTACCGATATATACCAAGTGGAAAAAATATTCTACCTGATATAATTCTCGAAAAAATCACTTTCGTGGGAGCTCGTGACTTGACTTTCAGCCTTTTTTTTGTTCCTTGGAAGGGCATTCGTTTCTTAATTTTTTTTGGGATCTGTGAGCGTTTGATCAACGTGTAATTCTTTAGTTAATCTAAATCTCCGGTCACTAGCATCCCAAGTTTGGTTACAAAAAATCATTCTTTCTACTTCTACCTTCGATATCGAACGAAAACCACTTCAACCCAGGACTCTTGTGGATATGTATAAATTGGTAATTCATAAAGTTTTATTTAGATAACCGACAATTTTTTTTAGATGTTTACTTTTTCACGTTTTTATAATGATAAGGTAGTGTTACTCGAACTTTTGGTGAATGTTTTGCTACAGAGTTTCGCCTGCATTTTGAGTAAATGGACTTTTTTTGAATTTTGTTGCTTCTACGATGGTCACGCTTGTTGGTACAGAATGTTTTGTTTGACAGAGAAGGCCAAAAATAATAAGATGTCCCTGTGGGATTAGTTTTTGTGTAGTGTATTTATATGGAGGATACATTTTTGCAGGTTATCTTCTATACAAGAATCGTACATTACAACTGCCAAAGTATTTCTTGTTTGTGGCTTTTCAAATCAAGTCACTTGAAGCTATTATTCTAGTCTTTAGACTGTTCACCGAATAGATGGAGTTGCAGAAGAGCACGATCTACGTCAGATTTTCCATGTTTCAGTTTCACAGAAATCTCAACTCTAATTTTGTAAACATGCATATACATGGTCACTCTATCTGTTCGGCAAACGGACTATAATAATATTAAATTGCATGGAGAAGATTTCCACTGGTTCACAGAATGTCATATATTTCTTTCGTCATTATTGGAACTGATATAAAAGGAAAATTTCACTTTACGATGATTTCTAAAGTTTCAACTTCCAAATACTGCTCAGCTTGCTTGAGCTCAAAGAACCTGACTTTGATTTTTGTCAAATTCTCTAGACTGTGACATCATATCACCTATTAATTTTTCTATCCTTGTTCGCCATCTTCAGTGTTTAACAATGAATTGTTTGATCTACTGGCTACTCTACTGCTCTATACTCTGTAAAGTTATGAATTAACTGCTGAAACATTCTCAATTCCCAGTATAATTCTTAGATTTGAGGGTGAGCTATAGAGAGTGTAATTTTTTATTGTGAATTTTAAATATTAATAAGAAAGATAATAGGTCGATTACAGAGCCTTGGGGAATTCCTCTTCCGGTAATCATATATTTGCTTTCATATCCCCCGATGAGTCCTCATAACACTATTCTCAAGATCATTCTCAAATATGCGTCCTACTTTTCCTCTGAGCCATAATTTTTTAAGTGAGATATTTGAAGAGTATTTCTCATTTCAAAACAAATTATTGAAGTTTCAGTGACGTAAATCAACTAAAACTACACATAACAATATTGTATGAGTGAAATTTGTTATATGGAGGGTTGAATTGGTTTAAACCTCGACCTTTTCCTAATTTTCCCCCCTTTTTGCATCAATCTCATTCAATAATAGATTCAACAGTGGGTCATGTAATTTCAATTACTATTTCGCTAAATTCATAACCTTAAAATTACAGGCATTGTAATTTTAACACCTACTCTACAGATACAGATACAGGCATTAAAAAAATATAAGTTTCTTGGGTTTTGCTGTCCAACCTGTTTCTATTGTCTTGTGCTGCCCCCCTAATGATAGTTCTAAATTTGAACAAGAGATGTCAGCACCTGAGTATAAACACGAATGTGAAATTTATGCCTGCTGTTCTCAACTTCAAATGAAGTAAACAAGAAGTTCCCGAAACAAAATCTGATAACTACATTCATCATAATTGATGGAAGCAGGTTGACCAAAGTAACTCACGGAAAGTTCATACTTTCTTATCCAACGATTTGTGAATTATGAGCCCAGATTAGATAATCCAAAGAAAACTTTTTCTTCGTCAAAACAAAACACTGTCTTTCGTCGCGCATTGCAGTGATTTGTTCAGTCACGTCAGAGATTCCAATTGTACCTATCAAATAGAGAAGTTGAAATAAAATTCTCAATGAAAAACCAGGTAGGCAGTCTTGGAAAAACTCTTGCATTAAAGCTCAGCGTAATAATCACATGACTGAAAGCGGATGACATATGACAAATGAAGGTTATGGAATACTGTTAGTGACAGTTGAAGTGTTGCTTAATAACAGTCGAAGGTGCCAGTTGCAAAGATCATTTGTTTACAGATTTACACTCTAGCTGAGATATCAAAGTATGTTGGAAATTATATTCTGCTTCGTATTTGTCTCAGTTTGGTTTGTTGGTATGTTGTTGAATGACAAGACTTTTGGAGCCCCTTGTATTGATATAGTTCACAAACTCTTTTGCAGAATAATAATACTGACTTATTAAAAACTGAAGATGGTTGAAAACGACTGATAAATCAGAATAATCGGAATAGAAAAAAAAATTTCAACTTTGTAATATATCCGAACTACTGGAAATCTTCTCCGATGTTTGAAGTCCCCTAATTTGCTGTATGAAAAAATTTAGTAGATTTTACAGACCTGCTATGAAGTTGCCCGCGGTAACAAAAGATATATACAGTTCTGAACAAAAAACTGCACTTCTAAGACACTTAGTTTTAGTCTTTAACAAAAATATTATAGCCACAATTATTTTTTTATTGTGTTTCCACTGCCCTTGTGTCGAATGGAACTGCTCGAGTGGCCAAAATAATTCAGCACGATAGGGAAGCATAGAAGGATAGAAGGACCACCAACTCCTTTAAAATGTCTATATCCATTTTGTGTAGGAATTCACTGATGTATGAACCAACGAAACACCTTGACGTAATTGCAGAATACACTAGATATCAGATTTAGCTTCAGTCTGATCTTAGGTTAGGTTTAACCTAACATTTTAGGTATAACCTAAAATTAAGGGCAATTTAATCAAAGATTATAGGTTATGAGATGAAAGCTTGAGAAAATTCAGAATTTAAAGTTGGATTTGAGTTCACACATTGGGGTGGTCCTTGTACTCTTTCAGGAACATCAATTTCTCCACAAATTCGAGGGTGCCGGTATTGATTAAAATTATTATTGCCAATCCGGGCTAGCTTTCTGTGGAGCTGACATATTTTTAGGAGGTATGTATATAATAATCTAACTTGTGTGCAAAATGAACTCTCCCTCTGGAAGCCATCTATTTTTTCTATCTTTGATTTTTATAGGTTGTGATTTTTTATATTTATATTCGTATTCCCTATTCCAGTATTAAATACAATATAATGGGAAGATGATCTTTTCAGTGAGTTACAGCTATGTATTTGTGTATATTTTTTATGTATATGATGTTATTGTTTTTTTTCCTCTTGTTACTCCGAGTGTTTCGAGCTATTGATATATTTATTAGGAATTGGTGATGTATGTATTTAAATCGTTAGGACCAAATAGATTTCCACATTTCATATTTATTGTATAAAGAGTTTCAGAGTTGCAAATGTTTCATTATAATGAGGTTAACATATTGGTACAATAAATTTATAAAACTGAAAGAGACTTGGTTTTTTCCCACAAACAAATCACGAAAACTGAACAAAGTTGATGCAGTATAATGGAAAAAATTCCTCTGAAGTAGGGTTGCAACCTATCACATTCGTGCTGACTTTTTTGAAGTGTTTGTTGATATTGAACAGAACTAGAGGATAGAACTGTTGTCTAGTATTAATAATAATTTTCTTATTAGTCAGTACTTGAAGACTGGCAGTAAACAAATCTAAAGAAATGAACTTCAAACGTTCAAGCCAGTCTCGGATATACCTATACAGTAGGTTAAATGGACTGACGCCTATCAGAAAACAACTACACCCCTGGCAATACCACGAAGGGCGTTGGATTATATTCGACAGGCGTCAGTGCAGGAATCTTCACAGAAAATTTCCTGCATATGCAATTGGCAATACAACTGAAAGAGTCGACCTTCAATTTTGGAACGGGCACACTTGCAGGCCGGTTTCGGGCTCATTAGCCACCCATCAGTGCAAGATAGCGGCCATCATCTACCTAGAGTCAATGATATTCCATAATTGAAAATCGACGACGACGACGTTAACCATCTTGATTTTATTCAGGTTGAAGCCTAGCTCCCTTCCCCTTTTAGCTGAAGTTTGTCAGAAAGACAAACGGGTCATGACTGATGTTTGATGGTGGCATGAAAGTCCTTAGACATCCATACCGCCCTTCGCGTTATACCCCTGCCTGGCTGGGGTGAGATAGATGAAGATATTATTCATCTGTTAACAGAGGACATAGGGGCCTCATTCGACAGAGTGTCGGGGCCTTCTATATCGGGAGAGGTCGTCTACAGCGTAATCTATAGCTTCCCTGACTAAAGGATTTTCGTGAGTTTCAGCATAATCTAAAACTCGCCGATTCCTCGACTGAATGGACTGCTGAATGGAAGGCAGCTTCAAATCTCTGCGGATGGCTTCATTCCGCACGAACCACGGAGCATTCACAATCATCCGTAGAATTTTATTTTGTAAAGTCTCCAAGATGGAGATGTTAGTCGGAGCCGCTTGTCCCCAAACGCCTGAAGCATACATGATGACAGACTTGAACATCATGTTATAGATCGTGATTTTGTTCTTTAGGCTCAGCTTAGATTTTCTATTGATCAAAGGGTACAGGCTTACCACCCGACCCTGGATCTTTGCCTTCACGCTTAACACGTGCGGGTTCCAGGTGAGCCTACGGTCTATAATAAGACCTAGGTACTTGACCCGCGCTTGCCAATCAATCTCCCTTCCAGAGATTCTCACTTTCATGGCCGGAGAAGCTATCGTTCTTCCCATGGTTATTGCCTGAGTTTTTTCCGGATTCACTCGGATCTTCCACTCGAGGTACCAGCGCTCGAGGTCGCCCAATGCACGTTGCATATAGACGATCCCGAGCTCCCGACCCATGGAAGATGAGAGGAGAGCCGTGTCATCGGCGTAGAGAGATACCTTCACATGCTCGGACCTCGGAAGGTCGCTGGTATAAAGGGAGTAGAGCGTGCACTCCAGCGAGGATCTCTCTGTTGTCAGACAGAGAGCCCTCTACTCTAACCTGAAATGTTCTGTCTTTCAGGAAAGACCCAATCCACCGGATCAGGCCCCGAGGCAAGTCGAACACGATTAATTTGTGAAGAAGGCCTTCATGCCAAACGCGGTCGAAGGCCTTCGAAATGTCTAGTAGGACTAGATGGACTTTTTTATTCCTATTTGGCTCCGCGATGGTATTTTCGACCAGTCTCAGAGCCTGCAACTTAGTGGAATGTTCTCTCCTGAAGCCGAATTGCTCATCAGGCAGAACATTTCGGTCCTCAACTTCTTCGTTGAGCCTTTGAAGTACGACTCTTTCAGCCAGCTTAGCCGCTGACGAGAGCAGACTAATCAGGCGATAATTCTGCGGTAGAAGCCGGTTCTGCCCCTGTTTTGGGAGCATGACGACGATCGCATGTTTCCACCTTCTGGGGAAGTATCTTAGAGCCAGAGAGCTGTTGATGATGCTCAAAAGGCTCTCGACGCAGTTTTCCGGGAGCTTCTTCAATAACTTGTTAGTTATTGAGTCAACCCCCGGGGCTTTCTTGGCTTTTGCAGCCTTGATGTAGCCTTTAATTCTTCCACAGAAGCCGGACGAATGACATAATTGAAAATCGGAATTCTTTCAGAGTATTTGATTCCTCTTCCTAAGTTGAAGCTAACAACAAAATGTCGCTCCATCTAGTGGACGAGGTACTAACCAACTGCATATCCGAAATTTGCCCGATTCCTCTGAATAAGGAAGAAAAACTTTCTTATTAGTCAATGGGCTGTGTAGGTATATCCGAGACTGGCTTGAACGTTTAAAGTTAATTTCTTTAGATTTCAATAATAATTGTCTGCTCTTTTCGGTTTTGTTAGGTATAAAAACCTGCAGACTACTGCAGAAAATATCGAACGCGATGCGGTAACAGTCGAAGTGTTCTACTCTTTTACGGTGCGCAAACTTTTCCTAGTTAGTAGGTATAATGTACCTAAACCACTTGAACGCCCAGCACCCTAGCAACGGATAGCTTTCCTAGATGTACTAGCAGAACGATGTGGTACCAGACTAACCCACAAAGTGTATCGAAATCCCACACACACGGATAGATACTTGCACGCGCTATCAAACCACCATCCTAGCCAAAAGACAGGACTCATCTCCAGTCTAACGGAACGGGCTTGGAGAATATGTGAACCATAACATCTGGAGAGGGAACTGAAATACCTTGAAGTGACCTTGAGATCGAATGGGTACAGTGCCTCCGAGACCAGAAGAGCCATGAGACCGAAGGGCACCACGGTTCAGAAAGCGAAAAAGGATCAGATGGTTGCACGCGCATATCTACCGTTTGTCCCAAGGGTCACGGACAGAATTGGAAAACTATTGGGCAAACACGACATCGAAACAGTCTTCAAGCCAACGAGGAAGATACAACAAAGCCTCAGGTCGGCTAAAGACGAAAGAGACCCATTATCAGCAGCAGGGGTCTATCACATACCGTGCACTTGTGGGAAGGTGTATATCGGAACCACCAAACGATCCATGGGAACAAGACTGAAAGAGCATGAAAGGAACTGCAGACTAGGCCAAGCAGACAAGTCAGCTTTGGCAGAACACGTACTTAGTAGACCACGTGATTTTGTTTGAAAACACAGAAATAATTGCCCCTAACCAGGGATACCATAGCCGACTGGTACGGAAGGCAATAGGGATCCACAAACACACGGAGAATTTCAACAGAAAAGAAGAAGCGGTGAACCTCAATCGAATATGGAACTCCATTTAAGGAATTCGAGAATAACGAACAGAATGACAACAGTCAGCAAGATTGTTAATGTTCCAGGTTCAAGTACAGGTACAGATACAGGTACCAATACAACTGATTACCTGACAAGGCATAAATACGCTTTACGAAGCGGACAGCAAGCCATGATGGTTAAACGTCTGAAGAAGCTAGCCACTCCCGCCAGCGAAACGTCAGGAAGAAATTCCTAAAATCCACGGCTTTCAAACTCGAAAAACAGTGACACTGAAAACCTCAGCCGCGAAAGTCTAAACCATTTTATCATGTACCTGATTGGTCCGACCCGTCTTCAATTAGGGAGAGGGGAGAATCTTTGTGTTTTGAAGTACTGGTATCCATGATGTTTGAGCTCTCCTCCTCTTCCTTATTGAAGAAGGGTCGGAAAACTCAGCTACAAGAGCAGTCGGTTGTTTGTGTTCTGTACATCTTTCTTACAGAAGACAGAGGAGGAATGGAAGAAGGGTCGTGACAACAACAGTCTACCATCCGATTCTAGTCCAATTAAAAGTACAAACGAACCAGGACCAGCAGGGTAGATCACTTCAACCGTTACATCGCCTTTGATAATATCTGCCGCAGTAGCAGACGAAACGTCAGAGACTTTGTTGACACTGTTAGCTAATATAACACATTGTCATTGACAACCTGATACTTTCCGACTCAAACGTTATTTGTATGTAGCACTTCGTAAAACTGAAAATTGATTCAAATGAAAATTTTATCTCCACCTGACGAAAGAGCTGATGTCTTCCACTTGAAAGCAGCAACTGAAGAATTTTGCAACAAACTGAGATAGTCGAAGGGATTACCACAGAAGGATATCCATAGGACGTCCTTGAACATATCTTCTGGATATCCTTGATTATTACGTCTTGGACTTATTGGAAACATCCAATGTAAGTGCAGGATTCAAAATGGTTGTTCATAAGATGTGTTGACTGCATTATTATTACTAATATATAAGGTGCACTTGAAATAATGGTTTCACATGCAAAAGATACAAACTCATTCAGGACTACTACTTTCATGATCTTGGACGCTCTTTCCCTGGATATTCCGGTACTGCCACTCCGAAGCTCCCCAGGCCTTAACCCCATTGACTTCGAATATACACATCCTTTCATAAATCTTAGCTTCCCAATTTTTGCTGATGTAAAAGTGTGGCGAATCCACTACCTGCACCTGAACGGCATATGTCTTCCCTCCTAAAAAAAATTATAACAGAGTTGGCCGGAGAGAAAACTAAAACTAAATTTACCGGCTGAAAAAGTGAATCCATAATCTTGAGAAGGTACATCTATTCCACCGTGCTGGAAGAGCTTGAAGCTGCAATCTCGCAGAGGAAAAATCTTCTTTTGTTTCGCGTTATAAACATATCCAAATGTCAGGCTGGAAAGTAAAATGAACTGCTGAACAAAAGGTTCAAGTCGTGAAGAAATTATTGAAATATTTAGCAGGTTAGAAAATAGGTCCCCATGTTGGGCGCCAAAGTATGAGTGGAATTTCATTGTAGCTCAGTAATGATAGGTTTTCCCTGAATATTTGTTATCAGTATAAAACACGTGCCTAAAATTTCGGAGAAGCAATGAAATTCCAGTCATACTTTGCCGCCCAACGTGGGAACCCAATGTGTTGATGTTTGTTGAAGGACGACCCTCGGAAATCACAACTTGTGGCAATCTAATGATTAACGAGGTCTTACATTTCAATGTGCTATTCTTAGTACGAGTCTGCTGATGGAACTAACTTCTTCTAGCGGAGGATTGAAGAGTAGAGAGAACTACCCACGCTAACTAACCGGCCGTAGCTGAATGACTATCCTATTTTTTATTTCAATTGTATTATTATGTATTAACAGGTTGTGCAAAAAAGTCTATAAATAAGAATAATAAGTTATTATACACACTGGCCATAAAACTCGAAACACAATTCAATGGACGATGACCTAGGAGGACAACTCCTCGGGAGGTCACATGTGGGCTTACACTTACCCTTCCTACTCTACATATACAGATTATGACTTCGCTGGTGGAAGCCAAAGTTGTTATATTCCCGATGGAAAGTTTGACCACAGGTCACTTGAAGAAATCGTTGGACTGATTGCAGATATTCATGAGAACTTTTGAAATAAAAATCAGAAAATGAACCAGATATGGAAAAAAACTCAAAGAAATGAAATGTAGGGTGTATAAACGTTTTAATTGACCTTTCTAGGGAGTTTAACCTTCCACACTCCGACACAAAATAAAAATTATAATGGAGAACTTTATAGTTTATTTCTGAGTTATAGTTTTATATTTTCTCGGATTGCTAAAAGTAAAAATACCTAAAACAGATCAACAAACGATTATCAAGCTCATAAAAAGTCACTAGGGATTCATCTGAACCCGTTTCGAAAAATACTCACCAAGAAAAAGTTATAGGAGCACACAGCTGTCCTACAGCAAAACAATCCCCTGTTTCGGTTGCGAAGTAATGAAGGGCATATCTGTGGAATTGTCCCCATTCCCGATATTTTCCGAAACTATGATCTCTGACGGTTTCAAGTTCGATTTTGAATACTTTTTCGTCTATTGTTACGTCCAATTTTAGCGTTCCAAATTGTTCATAATGCGTTTGGTGGTTCCTGAAAACAGTATTCCCGGTGATAATAACAAGGGAACGACAGAAAACAAGAGTAGAGTTTAGTTGAAATATTGAAAGTGTTACAGTTGATGCTATAAGTGCATAATTTATATCATTTGGCAAGATTGTCCAATAAAAAAAAACCACTAACAAGTGTACCACTCATTTAATATATTCTAAAAACTTGAAATGTACGGTACTAGAATAATTCCTTTCTCTATTATTTCTTCATACCCCACTTCTTATTGAGTACCTTCACACTTAACCTTAGTTAATTTTGACTGTATATCATGAAACTCACCCTTCTAGAACCTCAAAATAGCTCCTACTCCATCTCTCAAGAGCCATACTTTTAGCCATCAACATAGGATCGATATCGTAATCGAAATTAAAATACGGCTGATCCGATTCCCAACTACCCTCAATTTTAACATTGTGTTCTACTGCTCTGTTCCCAAACTCCTTCATCTTTCCGCTGTAAGATAACTTCCACTTCTTCATAGGCTCGACAGGTTCCATTTTTATACCTTCCGCGAAGTAATATGATTTATTTTCCTTCGTTTTGCAGAGCGTAGTACTCGGGAGTTTGGGAGTTTCCAGTACTCCCAAATTGGAACCGGCTATTTTCAAGTACAGGAAGCCATCCACCACATCTGGTCTTGTGGCCAGTCCAACAACCAAGTGGTCTCCATTTTTGTTTGCCCCATTCATGTAAACTGCATCGATAGCCTAAAATTAGTCTTTGATAAAATCACCATGGCCGATGTCAATGAAGAGATCAAGCTTCCACGGTTGACATCATAACTATTGCAATACTCCTATTAGAAGACTTTACTTCCCAGCTAAAAATATGATTTACTAAACACAAGAAAGTGATTGCTGCTTAGGACAGTCTGTTCCGAGAAGGAAACGCCATTCCCAAGAGGAGACCTAGTGATGTACGAGGACCTGGTAGAACTAGTTGAGGTACAAGGCGAATTTCAACTATGGACATTGTTGTGGCAGGACAAAAGCCCTTTGGACCGGCCTTCCAGCGCCATTGGGGCTGTCGTAGAATGCAACAGGCAATTGTATCCCAACATTTATATGTTGTTGAACATCTTGCACCACGTGCAGTAACCACGTGCATCCTGGAAAGGTCATTTTCCACACTTAGGCGCCTTAAAACCTACCTACGGAATTGTTTTGGGCAAGAGAGGCTAACCGGTTTAGCCCTAATGGCTAAACCGGTTCCAACTGATGTTGTTATATCAGAATTTGCCCATAAAGAGTCTAGAAGGCTTGATTTTGTGTTGTGAATTCACTAAACTGAAAATTTGAGGCTTTTAGTTTTACAAACCAATATGTTACTACAGTTTTTTTTTTTCAGCGCCAATGTAATGGTAATTAATCAAATTTGAATTAGCACGTCTTTCTTAATCAGACCCAGCCGAAACAAAAATCTGGGCACAGCCTTGATATTATTGTAGCTCAAAAAATGAGTAAGTATTAAAAATTGGGACTTACAGTCTCTCACCCCATTGGTAGAGACGAATTTATCAGACCTTCTCCCGGCAAACATGCTGACGTTATTTTGACGTTTATTTCTGGTCGTAATTAGTCATCTACGTCGTGACTAATAATTCACCTAAAACTGACAAGAATTTGATGAAGATGATGTGATAAAAAAAAGCGATTTATTTCCAACAGGAGTACCTAGTTACAAGAAATGCTATTATTACAGAGTATATATGAAATAAATATTAAAGATAATGGGAACTGTATAAAAGTAAATGCTAAAACAAAGTATATATAAAATATTTCTATACGTAGAATTTCGAAAGAGGAATGAAAAATTGAGTATATAACACAAAAAGTTACAAATCAAGCAATGTAGCAGTACTAACACAAATGTTATTTATAGTATTATTAAAAGTGATTGTGGATACATGATACCAGAGAGTCGACATGAATATCGCAATGTTCACAGATTTTACTGAAGCTACTGCACATAAAATTCAATGGTGATCGTGGCATAACATATGTGCGTGATGCTTCGCAATAGAATTTCAGATTGTGTCGACCTTCACTCCTTGGTACTAAGAAATTAATCTCGGATAAAAGAACCGTACTGTCAATATTGTTGTTTAGTAATGTATGCAGGAATTTTATACCAAGGATAACTCTCCAATTTTCCAAAGACGTCATATTTCGATATGATTTGCCATATCAACAAAATGTTATGATCGATGCCTCTTGTGGGGTATTGTCTATCAACTTTCAGACATAAGTATTTCAGGAACTTCCTCAGCACGCTCTCAATTGATGTTTTTTGGTAGTCGTAAACTTAGATCTGGCATAAGCAAAATATAGCAATTTTAAGGTGGCAATACTTTTGAAGTTTTTGCCATTTATGTAAATGAATCCAAGCATCCTATTTGCATCAGCAGTCATATTCCTTATACAGTGCTTTTCAGATAAAAGTATGCACCTTTAATAACTTTTGTAATACTGGTATTTAGGAAAAATCCAAAAACACGTCAATTTATGTTGGAAGGGGCAAGCATTATGGCTTATTTAAACTTACTGGAAAAGCCACCCTCTCACCCCTAGCATCATCCCTTTTTTTTAAATTACTTCTCATATATTTTATGTAAAATTTGGATACTCCTCTTTGAGCTGATTTCAAAAATATATAATACTTGTAGGTTGAAGTGGTTAGTTTATGAGATAAACAATTTTTCTTTAAACGAAACATTCCCCGCTCGTTGGATAGGTAGAAGAGGGCAGATGATGGAGTGGCCACCTAGGTCACCGGATTTAACACCCCTAGACTTCTTTTTCTGGGAGTATTTAAAAACAAAAGTTTATGCTACCCAACCAGAATCTCTGGATGATTTACGAGAGAGAATAGAAAATGAATGTCGACAATTAAATCCAGCCGTATTAAGCAATGTCAGAGTGGCATTTCAAAATAGATTATACCATTGTATGGAAGTGAATGGTACTTATTGTAACTTCATAATAAATAGCACAGTTAAAAAGATTAAAGAGTTTGAACTGTTGTACAACCCATTTTATTACAGGCAAATAAGGTAAAAGTAAAAAATAAGTAAAATTTGTGCTATTAAAAGAAAAATTGTTTATCTCATAAACTAACCACTTTAACCTACAAGTATTATACATTTTTGAAATCAGCTCAAAGAGGAGTATCCAAATTTTACATAAAAATGCTAGGGGTGAGGGGGTGGCTTTTCCAGTGAGTTTAAATAAGCCATAATGCTTGCCCCTTCCAACATAAATGGACGTGTTTTTGGATTTTTCCCAAATACCAGTATTACAAAAGTTATTAAAGGTGGATACTTTTATCTGAAAAGCACTGTATGTGTTGTAAATGTTAATTTACTGTCGTATGTTATACCAAGATCTTTTATTTTATGTACGCGGTTGCTTGTAGTATTGTTGATTGAATAATCGTACATTAAAGTTCGCATTTTTGCCAAATCATTAATAAAAATTGAAAAATAAAAGAGGTCCAAGATTAGAACCTTGTGGTACCCCAGATGTGACTACGTACTGAACCGATTCGAAAGATTCATATTCGACGAATTGTTTTCTGTTAACTAGATATGATTCAATTAGAGTAAGCAGTTGGTTTTGCTTGTTCAGGTACGTACAGAAATATTGATTTAAAGATGCAAGATTTGTCATACATGATCTTTGTTGTACGAAATCATGCTGACTAGGAGAAATAACTTTTTGAATATGGGAGTACATAACAATTTGCAGACATATATCGAAGAGTTTGGAAAAGTTACATAAAATTGAAATTGTCTCAATGAGAACCTAATATACGTAAATATTGTTATCTATTAGATGTGGAATATAGCATTTCTTTTTATTTATAGGAGATAGTCACAATTTCCGTTATTATTATTTGCTATCATGAAAAATAATGAAATAGTCATTTAGCCAGAGCATATACGTGGACTATAAAAAAAATAGGATGAATGTTAAAATTTCGAGAACTACGTATATTCGATTAGCCATTTGCTAAGTAATTCAAATGCCTCCCATGTAGTTTTTTATGGGATTCTACAAGTCCAGAAGGTCGTTACTACTCATGAACTAACCTGAGATATAACAATCGATAACTTACCTTGTCGTGATTGGACAGCTTTTGAGGTCTATCAATACTGCTCGAGAACTGAAGTTCATCATGCTTACTCAAAGCCCGTTTGATCTGAAATAAAAAAGAAATGTAGAACAACTATTGTGGCTGCTTAGCCGTGGCACAATTTACTTTTCTCGCCTTCAAAACACAATACATGAAAGCGACCTTCAGCCAATAGAATCCATTTTTCCGTTGGTAGATACCGAATAGAGCAGGGGGGTCTTTGTCTAATAGTTTGACTAAAAAAATAAGAGCCGAGGAAAACGACAGAATCAGAATTTCCGTCAGGTCAATCATACTCAGAAATGTTTTCAATACACTGGCAATTTGCTGACGTTACTATAATCGGATAAAGATAATAAAAAGTGATAAGCTTACTATTACAAGTAGGAAACCACTCAACTTTTGCTCTGGTTATGTCATTTGAATAGTTTCAAGGAGAGTGGAACAAATACAGCGTGACTCACGGTCGATGATAGATTAGACGTTTCTGGAAAACGCAAAGCATGATTTTTCTGAAAATTTCACCTCTCACATTTCCTTACGTGTTCTATCGATCTCAAATATTTTCAGCATTGCGGCGTTGCCACTTCCATCAAAAAGTCCTAGCAACTTTGTTTTTTTAAATGGAACACCCCGTATATTAATACATTTTTGGAATCGCTCTGGTATTTTAATACTTTTTTGTTAATAATGTCCTATACCTATCTCTATCTGTTTTCGAGATAAACAATAAATTGTGCTAAATATGGTCCAAAACATAGCTTTAATTGAAATTAAGTACATCAGTACTTTAAATTCATGAAAAGTTTATATTTTGATGATAGTTTGGACAAACTCGAAATATTCAAATAACACCAAGAAATCGACTCCATATCATACATGGCGTGCTGAAATTACTATTATTTCCATTTTGTATAAAAGTAGTCAGAAGTTCATTTTTTCAAATGAAACCCCCTGTATATTACTCGGTAAATTGAAAGATGGTGAAAAACGCTTCAAGATGTCCCTATACCTAAATCGTCAAGTTTTCTCAATAAAGTCGCTTCTTCTAGAAACATTATTTTTTTTTTTTTTTTAGAATTTGGATTTAGGTAGCAGTGGAATTATCAAGCTTATAGCAGTTCGGTTACTTTTATAACTATTTTACAAAGAGTTATCGACGGTGTTTCGAATCATCTTCCAAAATGAATGCAAATATCGATTATTCAAACGAAGTTCTTATGAAATTATTTATTATACACATGAACAAAGTGATCATATCATTGTCAGAACGTGTAAAAAATTCAACCAAATGTATCCTGAATTAACACCAATGAACGAGAGGAAGTTTGTGGGGTTACAAAATAATTTCCTTAACTATGGCTCAAAGTTTCCAGGGAACAACTGTACCAAAAATCAGTCATTTCTAGGTAAAAAGTTAAGATTTTATGGGCTAAAACATGTGAAAGTACAGACAATAACACAATATTTTCACAATAAATGCTGAAAATGTTGTCCATTACATGTGGTTGCTTTTTCAATTTCCTGGGGATCCAGATCTTCAATACTCCGCACTATTCGCCGTCGCAATTCTTCTTTGGTAGGCACTGGAGTACTGTATACCCTTTCTTTTAAAACATCCCATGAAAAAAGTCAAGTGGCGTGAGATCGGGCGATCTCGGTGGCCAATCCCACGGCCCTAAACGCCTGTATGATATGGAGCCGATTTCTTGGTGTTATTTGAATATTTCGAGTTTGTCCAAACTATCATCAAAATATCAATTTTTCATGAATTGACAGTACTGAAGTACTTAATTTCAATCAAGGCTATGTTTTGGACCATATTTAGTACAATTTATTTTTTATCTCGAAAACAGATAGAGATAGGTATAGGACATTATTAACAAAAAAGTATTAAAATACTAGAGCGATTCCAAAAATGTATTAATATAAGGGGTGTTCCATTTAAAAAAATATAATTGCTAGGACTTTTTGATAGAAGTGGCAACGCCGCAATGCTGAAAATATTTTAGATCGATAGAACAGGTAAGGAAATGTGAGAGGTGAAATTTTAAGAAAAATCATGCTTTGCGTTTTCCAGAAACGTCTAACCTACCATCGACCGTGAATCACGCTCTATATCGATTCAATGAAAAAAAAATTAAACTCGTGAAGTAAATAAAAAACAATTAATAATCAAGTAAAGTATGTTGGGTAGAAAAAAAAATACTGCCGAAACCAGGGATCGAACCAGGGACCTTTAGATCTTCAGTCTAACGCTCTCCCAACTGAGCTATTTCGGCTTATACTAGGAATCGAATAAATATGTGTTAGAAACTTTCAATTACGGTAGATATCACAACAATAATGGCTTATATTATGCAGATGACATAGTTATTATGCAGACAGGCAAATTTGTGATTACACTGTGCGATAGAGCGCAGGATGGGCTCAAATTAATAGAAACGTGGTGTGAGGAACACTCACTGTCGATCAATTCCAAGAAGGCTGAGATGGTCCTTATCATCAGGAATAGAAATTTATCGGGCTTAAAACCAAACTAAACTTCTCTGAAGAGGTGAAATACCTTGGTACTATCCTCGACAAGAAGCTAACGTGGAACTCTCATCTACAGAGTAGAGCAAAAAGAGCATACGTGGCTTATGAGCAATGTCGGAGGACAGTGGGACGCGTATGGGGTCTTTCACCCCGTGTGGTCACCCTGGATCTACACAGCAATATTAAGACCTAAGTTAACGTACGGAGCCATTGCATGGGGACCGAAAGTTTTACAAGCAACGGCCATCCAAAAATTCAGCGATTGGCTTGTTTGAACATCACAGGAGCCATGAGAACAACACCAACCGCGGCAATGAAATTATTTACTGGTCTGACCCCTCTGGACCAGGAAAGGAATTTCTGGCAAAAACATAACAATCTGCACTGATAGCAGACAAGCCCTATTAGCCTTGAACAGACAACGTGTTATCTCAGGGCTAGTACTAGAGTGCCACCAAGATTAAGCCAAAGCCTCGGTAGATAATAACATTATTCTGAGTTGGATTAAAGGGCACGACAGAAGTTAAGGTAACCGCAATGCCGACTCTTTAGCTAAGGAAGCGGCTGGACTAAGAATTATAGTGGCACCCAGTGGCACCTGTGGACAATTGCGGAACTAGCCAAACGTCACACCCATGCTCAATCCCTAAAGAGATGGGATGCAATCTTCCCAGGCTACTCTGGGAAGCTGTCGCCGAAAAAATATCTGGCGATGACCAGGAAAAATCTACGCTTAACAGTGGCAAACCCTGTTAGTTCAAACAGAATGCCGCTTAAAAAAATACACGTTGTGTATAATTAACCCCGCTTTAAAATTTCTTTCAAGTTTGTCATTACCTCTCGTTCAAACTCTCCTACAACAAATAATGGTCAAAGATGATGTTCTCATTACTACGACATCTCATTTGGTATTGCATTTCCGTAATAGCAAACTTCCACTCTAGACACATGCATATCCAAAGAAAAAGGGGAAGACGATAATAAGAAAGGTAAGTTGCAAATTTGATATTGATTTGTGCGCCCATTACATTTAGGTCCTTCGAGCCGGATCGGATAAAGTCTTAATTGAACATTCTTGGTTGTACATATATTGTTTGCCTCCATTATGTGCAGTCTGCAGCTAAAGTCTCAGTTTAACAGCATTTTGTGTTGAGGTGTTCTCTATCGGATTGAATCCTAAATTATTGATAATGGTTATTCAAAAATATGTAGTACTGAAAATATTGTCACGTGGTCGTGCCGAGGTCGAGAGATAGTGTTTGTTCTGGTGTGGGAATAGATTTGTTGACATTATGTGAATGAGTCTAGAACATCCAAAAAAAAAGCAGCGAAAGAGAGAAAACATTAGTACTTGATATCTGTACTTCATCTTCAGCAATAGGTATATAGGTGTTTTCAGAAATGTAACAAATTGACTTACTTTGGAAAGGGAATATTTTCAAGAGATTAGTTCTTTGGAAACAAGCTTTTTGGCTTTCAATTTTTCCATCATCAAAAAAAATGTGGTAAAGATCGGAAGAAAAATGAAAATAACTCCAATAAAAACTCTTTACAAAGATATGTAGTCGATTATGCACGGAAATTTCTTTCAGTTACAAACTGTTATCGAAAAACGTATTGATGAGGAGAAAAGACACGTGGTTTGTCTAGAAACTTCAAAGTACACCATTAAAAAAGCTGGTATTCCTTAAAAGTGAAATGTTGTATCAATGCTCTTTCTTATAATGTTGTGTAGTGTCCCTATGAGTGATATCTGTTTCAATTCCACAACGAACGTTTGGATTACAAACTTTATGGAAAAAAGTGACTTTCTTTTCGTGTTTCTGAATGTTCATTTGAAACTAGTTGTTTCAAAAAGTGCAGTAGATCAGCCGGCAGAGTGGAGCGAGAGCTCATTAACATCGAGAAACTCGTGTAGTGAACATACCTAGCGAAAATGTCAATTCGATATACTCGTATACCTGTAAACATTTACTTTACTTGAACCCTAAAAAAATTCGTGAAGTTACTACTTGGGTGAATGTGAGAGCTTCGTAAAATACTCAGGTAGTTTGGAAAAAGTATGATTACTTGGTACTGGGTACCTCAGTTTTTCTAAAATATATGGAATAAAAGCACTGAATATTCAACTAGGTATGTACTTTAGTTCTGTTCTGATTTTGTGGACCCTGTTCTGCACCATATCGAAAGAATTGATATTTTTTGAGACCCCGAAAATCGAGAGACCTGCCACTGTTCATATGATGACAAGTATTGTGGAGAACTTACCTGATGCGCCTCTATAAAAAGTTATTCTGTACCTGCCACACCTTTCTAATCTCACTGGGGAAGGCACAAGTCACCCTTGACAACCTAACCCAGTTTTTATTTAAAGGAGTGGATGAAGATGATAAACACTGAAAGGGATTTCCTTTCAGAATTGATGACTTCTCTACTACATTCCGGATGAAAGATTCTGAGATAATGAAGCTATTATTGATTCAAATCATCAGCTATAGGTAGGTATAGTCGAGAAGTAACCTTTATTGTGAATACTTAAAGCTATCGGCATCTCAAAGGCCAAAACGGTCAAAAATACTGAGTGCGCATATAAGCAAAACTAAAAAAAAAATATGGCTCTTCTTTGGCACCCCGAAAAAAAATCATAATACAAAAAAAACTGGAATCAGTACAAAGTATGGCCTCCACGCTGGTTTATTACGGCCCTACATCTATCGTGCATCGACAAAATGAGATTGTCAATGTCTTGTTAAGGTACATTTGCCCATTCAGCGATTAAAAGCTCTCTCAATTGAAACGTTGGGAGAATG